TGCAGGATAAAAGAGTATAGTGATTTAGCTAGGGCGTTTGTAACGGTATACTATGTTTTAATATTTGCTTGATCAAATTATTTGTTCTTGGTTTTATTTATTTCTTTGTCTTTGAGAAATCTGTAAATTAATTATTATTTGGAGCAAAACTAATTTTAAGTATTAAGGAATTATTTTCAACTTTACAAAGACTTATTTTAAGAATAATCATGTGACAATAAATTGCAATTGAAATTTGAAAAAATATTTTAAAAAAATAGCTTGGGAAGCTTAAGAAGATAACTTTATAAAAAAAACATACAATACAATATTAGACGACGAGCAATTAGAGCAGCGGACAGAAAAAAGAATCCCCACAAACTCGACTGGGTTCTTGATTTTTAAAAGGGAATCCATCCATTGCTTTAATCAACGTTTATATAATTGAAATAAATTATTTTGACATAATTCGCTGGGTGTTGCTTTAAATCAAAAGTTGAACAAACTCACATTATTAGAGTCTTGTTTCGCATTAATATAGTTTTAAAGCGTATATCAAAATAAGTGTTTCGAGAAATAGTTTTTCCTATTTCCCTATGTTTCTCCTGCAATGTCTGCAGCATTGTTTTTTTCATTACTCATACGCCCCATATAATGTCGCATTCAGCTAGCCTTTGCGCTTTGTTTTCCTTGGCTCTGTGACACATGTGTTGGTTGGCTGTTTGTCCGCCTGGTTGCATGACTGGATGAAGAGATGACTGCATGACTACATGACTGCTGTTGGCATTGGCAAATGTGTGCAGAAAAACCGTTTTGCCTTATTGTTTGACGCACTTCCCCGGAGAATCTTATTATGAAATTTGTTCCGTTCGAACCACCCATTGCCTCCACCACACTTTCACTACGAAGCGGTGAACAATCGTTTCTTATTGTTTTTGCCTTTATTATTTCATTGTTTTATTTTTTCCTATTTCCTGCTGGCCGTGAAACTTTTTGTTTGTGCCAAAGCAGATTCAATAAAAACCCGGAGCTTATCTCCAGACAGCGACAAGTGCTTTAAACTACAGTACCGACTTGTTTCGTTTGAAGTGCTGCTGAAATTCAAATTGCAACTTTGCCCATAACGAGCAAATCAGCATAATGACAAAACACGCCGCATGAAATGAACTTGAAAGACTTTGTCTATATTCCACACAGACACCCCCACAGAGTCCGTATACAATGCAGTGCCTTTTTTAGGTGTTCCTCCATATACGAGTACTTATGTATCTCCATTTACGCGCACATCCCACACTCAGATAGAAATTCGTACTACATACTCGTAGCTCTGAGGCTCGTTTTTTGTCCTAAACTGTATTTTCGGCCCTGTCACCACCAGCTGTTAACGTATTGCTCTTGTTTCCACTTCCACCAATTGTTGCCACTTGCCACATTTGTCACAGTCAAACAACGCCTTTTCCACGTATAGTTGGGTTGGCATTACTCGTATTTATGCTAATTACCGTTAATTAATAACGCTTACATATCATTTCTAGGTGCTTGCTGCATTTACTCTACATCCGGAAAGGGTGGATCAACATTTGTATTTTATCTCATAGATGGGTATGAGATAATATGAAAGGAAACATTTTTAGAAAAATTCGATTCTATTTAAGTAATCGAATGATCGAATGAACCAATTAAATTTGGAGGATCCTTCGAATAGAGCTCCTGAAACTCGATAAAAAACTAATTTTTTATGGTAATCAGTGGTCAGTCTCTTGGTTGAACTATATTCGCTGCAAAAGTCAAACCTTCTGTGGCATAGATATGTATTCACAGGTAATGAAGGGTTCTGGTGAATCAGCTTTTTTATTAAATCTTTATTGGCAAAATGTTTATTATTTTTTCTAAAATGTGGGTAGAGGATAGCGCAATAACTGGAAAGGAAAAAGTATAAACATGTGTTTATGTGGAACATGTTGGCTCTATATCTCTTCAAAAGCTAGTCGCATATAACATTTATCGACAAAATAATCCGCAGATTAGTAATTTTGTAGGTCTTCGTTTTTACCGATAAAGGAGCCGACGCCAAACTAGAACAGCTGTTATTAAATACTATACAGATACGCGTATATAAATCTGATCTACCCAAACATTCTATACACATGATAACCAAACATTTTCGCACAAATGCCAAACATTTGCAGCAGCCACTTAATTAAAGTCGTGAGATCGCTTCGAGCCGTTGGAATGTGGAATAAATGAGGGGTCCAGCCATGCGCACACACACACCTATTCGTTTAATTGATTTCACATTTCGCACGAGGTTCGTGATGACTGTCCGAATTTTAGGGAGCAGTCAGTCCAGTCTGCTAGGGAAGAATTTTGCGAACACATATTCAATTTATATTTGTACCTTTAACCTGACTGACAGAATGACAGACAGTCTGGCACTCTGGCAGACTGGCAGACCTTTGCAGCGTCATGCAGTGCGTTCAACTTGGAAATGCAAATACACGCGAACATTCAGTCCGTTCGAATCAATATAAATAGAGATAAAGGCCGATGTAGTGGCGGTGGCATATGCGCAGCAATAGGTCCGTCCCCAGCAAAAGGTCAACTGTCCAGGGCTCCGAGCTAAGCTGAGCTGTGGCTGTGCCTCACCATTCTGATGGTCTGGCCAACCCCCAAGGCTGCGGCAGTTACAAGTAAATTTGATATGTCTGTGTGTTGAAATAATTTTGGGCGTGTGCGCTTGCACGTCACATACGAACATGATGAAGCGCCCGCGGCTATCTGTCAGTCGTCAGTTGTCCGGCCGACCAGCTTGCCGGGCGCACTAACTGACTGAGTGACGACTGTCAACTCTGGTCGCGGCCCCGACCGAACAGCTGTGCATATCGGTTACTAATACATATGTCGAGCTGTCGGGCAATAGCATCGGACAGAGTTCACACCTGTAGTGAGCTATAAAAAGCGCGTGTGTGCCCTGCTTTTATAGAACTTTGGTCATAACAACACCAAAAAACAATTATTAGCCATCCGCATATCATTATCCATATCCACATCCACATCTACTATTGATGTTTCGATGGAGGGGAATGCGCATTGCGTACTCCATAAATAGCCACATAAAAGAGCCCGGCCGCTTCTCATGATCATAAAAGGGTTAGCTATCGCAGTTGCAGGCTGTGGTTGTTGCTTCCATGCCTCTGCCCCATTTGCTTCAACTGCATGTGCCGCGGCAGAGCTGCCTATCAATGAGATTTTTCTAGTGCCACTCTACGCAAATTAGTGTAATTGCTTTTTATTACCGTTTATTTGGTTAAGGAGAGTTGGAACCAGCACCTATGCTGGGGTTTTTTTGTTGGAAATGTATTGAACACAGCCTTCAATTAGGCGGTAAAGGAATCAGACTCGGCTAGGGGTAGCCTTAAGGCAACAGGTTCTGCTTCTAAAGCACACAAATTTCATAGTTCTGAATAAGGTTTATACCTTACACATGTATTTATTTGTATTACTATTGTAAGTACAAGTATGTACTTATATTTGTAGCAGAGACAATATAACCAAGGCATATCATTAATATCAAAATGTCCTGTGAAGCGTAGCCAGCTCATTAGGAGTTAGCATTTCTAAACATACCCATGAGTAGTAGGATCAACGGAAATCGCCGTTAGCTACACAAAATCTGGGTAATTAAGTGTACAGCTTGTTTATATAAAATATATAACCTTTAAGGATATTCCTTAGGCTCATAATTATTGAAGATTTTACAAATGTTGATTTTAAAAGTATTTTACTATTAAATAAGCCCAGGTTCTTCTGAGTTTATCAACAAGCGATTAAAAAACAATTGTTAAATGAAGTCATTTACCTCAAGCGATTTTCTTGGACTTCTTTTTACAGTCACATATTTATGTATATGTATTAGGTATTAATAATGTATCATTTAAAAGAGATTTTAATTATAAACAGTCACAGTCAACGTTTGATCCGTACGGACATCAATAAAATTTGTGCCAAAACATAAGTACCCAAAAGGGAATTTTTATGATTGTCTTCTTTTAATTTAAGGAAAGTTTTTTGCTATTAAAAATTGGTTAAGTTTAGAAGATAAGAAATTGTACACCCCCTTAACCCTTTGGGGTAAAATAGCTAATCTGACATGGGTTAAAAAAATGATTTAAAAAAAAAATTGTTTCCCGAAAAAATTTCCTTCTTTCATGTCACATAATATTATTACAAATGTCATACTGAAAATTAGGGATATGTGTCTTTAGTTGTATTTTAAGATCTTAATGGTAAGTTCATAAATGTCAAGTCAAATTTGTAAAGGAATTTTTTCTGAGTGTAGCTATTTCTATGCTCATATTTATCACTTATTTATTTATCACCTTTGTCATGTTCGACAGTCTGGTAATATCTTGTTTAAAGACATTGTTGGAATTTTGCAAAGCACATTTTTTCCAGAGCTTAAGATTGTTGATAGCAACGAGTTAGCCTAACTAAAACGAACAAGTGTGAAATGCCAAATATAAGTAGAATCTTCAGATTTGTTTGCACGTACATATGTATATGTAAAACTAAACCTAAACTAAACCTGGTATCTGGACCCCTTTTGCCTCGGAGAAGTTTCCGCTGCCCAAAAAATCTCAATTGTTTCATAACAACTTCCTTAATGGTGAATATGTAATTGATACATATGTTTAATTTTAAAACAGTTAAAAGGTTGTTAAACTTTATATTTGTGTCGACAAAATGTCGGGTGATTAGTCAATATTTATTACTTATTTATTATTATGTAATTTTGTAATCTAATTTTTGGTGTAATTGGCTCTTAAAGTGCTACACAACACAATTAATGCTAATTTAATTTCTTACTTTAAACACAATATCTTAAATGCTCTACAATGATAAGTTGTGCCCCGCTCCGTTAAGGTGGGGGCAGAAAGTGTTAAGATACTTATGAACATAGGTATGAACGTAGGTATATTTGTATGTGTATGTATAAAATTTACAATTGCAGTCGCACTTACCTAAACAGCTGTTCCTCTCTAACCTGACACTTGTGCCAACAATAATGGCGACCAGAATAACGGTAATGATTGAAAATGTCATTCTCTTTGCTGGCGCTTTGTCTCAGTGTCTGCAAAAGTTTCGTAGGCAGTTGTTGTCTCTCACTCGCTCCTCTTCTTAGCTGCGTTGCTGGTATTGTTATCAAGCGTCTGTGGTGTTGTGTTTAATTGTTGCTGTTGTTGTGGTTGTTGTTTGCCCAGCCACTCAGCAAATTGTTTGCTCTCCTCTACAATTTATACTTTTAATTCTATTGACAATTATGCTGTCGCACTTTGTTCGCCCGTTCACGTTCACGTTCACATTTTTTCTTCAGTTTGTTTTGGTTGTAGTTGTTAGTGTTACTGTTGTTCTTTATTATTTTTATTTTTAAGCAATTAGTTGCACGTTGGCCTCTTCAGCTGCGCTTAATTACTTCGATCACAAATTGATAAGCAACATTTATCAATTAATGTGCAAAAAGAATAGGGGGAGCAAAATACTAATAATAAATGACTAACCTTTACTAGACACAAAACAGATACATCATACAGCCCCAAAATTTTGAGCGCCATGGCGCCGGCTGGTCTTGTTTTTATTGATAGTAGCGCCTGGGCTTTCAAAAAACAACTAGAAGAAGAATGTCGCCATCTTCGGCTCAATTTGTCATTCACTTAATGCCCCACAATGTTCACCAGAGCCAAGGGACTCATCGAACGCTTTTTGAATATATGAACATATTGCAATTAAAAGGTTGAATTGTCAATGTTGTCACTCCTTGAGTCTTGAATTACACAACTGTGTATGTCATTGTTATGTTTTCAATGCCATTTGTAGTGTTGAAATGCGTATTATTCTAATTATTTTGCTCAAGTGTGATCACATTGCAAAGCGGTATTATATTTTATATTCGGTTTTTTGCATCTTTAATTGGCCAAGCCCCTAAATAGTTTTTTGCCAACTCACTTTATGTCGAGACTGATTTAACGTCCAATTGTTTTTAAAATGGAAATGATTATGAATTGAACAAATTCAATTGTGGGCATAATTGTTCAAACGTTTATCGAGTTTTTTTCTTCAACTTAACACTGATGAACCCGAATTTTTGTATTTGCAAAGAGCAGTGCTGATTGAAACGATTTCCTCAATAATTGATACATAGTACTTATTCGGCCAGCAGATGCGGACAAAAGTGCGGAAATCTGAATAGTAGTGGCATTTTTAAATGAATTGGCTTTACTATACTAACACACATATTCTGCCTATTCACTTTTTGGGAGGGAATTAAGACTCTTAGAATTTTACTTTTTGGGAAGCTTTGGTAGACATGTGTTTGTTAATCAGTGTACTTTTTATTATTGCACGCCAAATATCTTAAAGATCTTATCACATGCATTACGTTGCTCGTTTGAAATATAATAATTTGTATAAATATTTTTAATTTTGGACTGCTCAAAGAACTCAAAGAGGCAGACCGCTTGAAATTAAACATAAAATCATTTTAACTAACGAATTCTATACAAGATTCATTGCAAACACTAAAGAGGACGTGCCGTCAAAAGCGCAAAATGTAAAAAATATAAAAACAAAAACCGCTCACGATTTCACAAGTACGTGGTAGTAGGTAGTCAGCTTCAGCTGGATACAAAAACTGAGCCATTGAAACAGTGAAGCATTGAGGCAGTTAGACAGCCAGGCAGGCAGGCAGGCAGCCAGGCGTACGGCATATTCACAGCAGGTGTGATAAAAACTAAAGTTCACAAGTGCGAGAGACACAATTGCGGGCATTTGTGGTTGGTTTGAAGATAGCACGCATAATTCAAAAGAGGCTCAAAGTCAAACAACATGATAAGCAATTTGTATATAAATACATAGATACTTATGTATGTAGAATGTGTATGCGCGCAGCCTGCCGGCGAGCGTTGACTGATGTTTTGAATGACAACTTGATGACTGACTAACTGACTGCCACATCTACGTACTGCTAACTAACTCGGTGACTGACTGCCTGACTCTTCAAACAGAACAGTTCAACACTCTTGACACGCGGCGTACTGAGTTGGCCAAGTACGCCGATGACACAAAGCGGCTTTAAGCCAACTCCATAGAACACACGAATTGGCCCAAACGAAACTTAAAAAACCTCAAGCACTTTTTTTCTACCAAAATATGTAACACAAGCTCTTACTAAGACCATTTGGATATAATATTATATAGGTGAGTCCATCTAATGCTGCGCTTCACTTTATTTATTTATTTTTATTTTGTAAAGATATTTTGCTCGTAATATGTAACCTTTCTTCCGTTAAGTCTAACTTAACATTTAAACAATTGCATTAAACGATTGAGATGTTTGTCTTTGAATTATGTTTTTCCCTTACACGCATTCGTCCTTTAACTATAATAACTATGATTTAATTAAGATATAAAACTTAAAAATAGTAAAATTGATAACGATATCCAAATACTCGTCCGTGCAAAATTTATTCAATTACGCCTGATTTGTGCACCGATCCGTTCTATAGAAGCTATGTAACAATAAAGGGGCAATTGTTCAAAAGCTGTTGAGTTGTCAAGAAGATACACACTCTATATAATAACAACAACCACACGACACTAGCTTTTCTACTATATGCCTTCAATTTCAAATGCATGCACTTTTATATTTGGTCAGTTTTTTTAGAGCAGAACGCGAGCTTACACGGCATTTTATTTTAAAGGTGCGTCCTGTTGCGTCGCACGTACGATGCCGAATCATCAAAAATACGTATACCTCTCCACACGACCGTCGCACTCAAAAGTCACAAACCAACTGTTTTGTGGCTACCGCCTGTCGTTCAGCCTCGTCGACGTAAGCGCTAGCGTCGACGTTTCGCAGTCGAGGCAAGAGCGCAGAAAGAATTCGAACGACAAAATATTTTCAAATTTCGGTGTTCGGCTTTTATTATATTTTCATATTGCTTCGACCAAAGCCGAGGGTAACTTAAAGCTATTTGTTTAACCATTGAATGAGTTTTCAAATGTGGGAAAAAAAGTCGTTCGAAGAGCATCGCAATTGAGTTGCCGGTGGCGTATGAGTGATTTTTCACTAATAGCTGCTTAATATAAATTTTTAATTATTACTTTTCCTCTTAATAAGTACGTTGAAATAGACTTTCCGTGTTTTTGGTTCTAATTTGTTATTTATGGAGAAATATTTATGCTTTCTATATTATTTCGAATTAACGCTTATTATTTGTAAATGATTTAGCAACTAAATGAATGTGATTTTAATGCGAGTTTGGCATACTCAAGAATGAATGTATACATACTATATGTTTTCTCGATCGGTACGACGACACATGAATGGACATTGCCATTAATTTGTCCAATTTGGAGATCTTTCGATTAAAGACAGATAAATAATTTATGGCATGTGAAGTTGAAATTTGTTTGTATAGTGTGTACATGGATTCAATAAAATTATTAATTATTTAGAATGCTAGTACAAAATAATCTTCAATTAACTATGATTAGATAAAAGTCTTTTAGATACAGGTCATAAGAAAAATTAATTGTTTAAAGCAATATTCATGCAATTAAATATCCATTGTATTCAATGTATATTTAACATAAATTCAGAAAACGCTCGTATACGAGTATAAGGATTCTTTACTATTTAATACATTTATTTTACTTTTCGGCTCTTGGAAAATAAATTTTCATTTTTGCGATGCGTTGGATTTAGTATGATAATAACGTTTTCATGCTCTTCGGCTGACTTTTAACAAATTTTCGCAACAATAATTTATTGCACAACATCTAATGGTAATTAATTAGCCACCTTTTGCGCGGAGCACTATCTCACGACATTTCGACAATAAAGACGCGAACTAAGTGCCACATTCAACGTTTTTGCGATGCTAGAGCATTGAACGTACCGTTACTTGTTAGTTAGTTAGCCACTGTGGAAAGCCGCGCGCCGCTGCAATTGAACCGCTTCGCAAGCGCTTCGCCAAACCAATGAAACTGAAACCGGCACTGAAAAACCGCAGGCAGACAAATCAGACAAAACTTTTGTGTACGTCGTTCTCGTCATCGGTCGTGTGTTTGCCGAATAGGATTTTCCACAGTTGACATCGTCGGGTTGTTTTGCTCCCTCGTCGAGTTTTCCTTATCCACGAAACACACTAGAATATACTGAAAGCCATTGCAGTTGTTATTTGCTTATCAGCATGCCATGTTGATAGCAATTATCATCATCATCATCAGCATTATCTTTACCTCGCACTGTGGGATGTGTGGCAGATTTTTTGACCAGCATCTACCCGAATGGACATAGGTTTTTAAAACTAGTTGGAAGCTAAACAAATTTGAGGGACCAATATATTTGAGGATTAATGTCACCTTACTGTACAATCAGCGAACAACCGCTATATTATACAGTCGGGATTTGTATACCTTTTATGTAAGTTTGGAAACAGGTTAGGTTGTCCTTAAATACCTAAATATAAATCGTTAAGAACAATGTTTTAAAACTATAGTTGTAAAGATCGAAATACCAATTTATACTAATGTTATCGATTAAGTCATATGAAATATTTGTTATTGTATTGTAATCGAATTATGGTCACACAGTGTCATGAAGAAGCTGGTCGTCGACAAAACACGAAATTGAAACTCGCGGAAACTCTCCGAAACCTACTGAAATTTATCTGAATTTAATTTAAAACGGTCATTTAATCACATATTCTCAATAATTACTTATCCACAAAATCATTATTATTAAAGTTCAAACAAAACCATAGTCAAGTGTCTTTTCATTAAATTTTAGGGCCCAGCGTTCATACTGGTCCTTACATCTTTCAATTTCGTTTGTTGTTGAGCGTGTTTTCAATTTAAAGTCGACGATCAGTGGAATATATAGTGTGGAATCGAAGTGTTATGCAGATGTCAACTGGTATACACGAGCCAAGATTCACACGAAAATTTACGTACATATCGCCAAATGTACAGTGACCCTGAAATCTAGTCGAGACGCCGAGTTAAGTGACGCCGGTAACGGTAAAATCGTACGGTATCTGCCACATA